TCATTGAAATTAGCAATAAAATAAAATATAAAATAAAATTATTTTTTAAAATAATCCTTTATTGTTGATAGTGGCATTTGGATTTATAACATAAATGATTTAAGTAAATAAATCACAATTATGAATACCAGTCAGAAACAACCACATCATAAAGTCGCCGAGTTAGTAAAAGTGAAAGTTAGTATAATATTTTAAAATTAAATCATACAGTTTATGACTCTCTCTCACTTTAAATAATATCAAAGATTAACTATATAATTTTAAAGCCTTTATATATTTTTTATAATTGTGAGATTAAGAAAACCGGTTTAAAAGAAGCCAAAAATAAAGAGATTAAACGCGTAAAGAACCAATCAAATTCATGATGACAAAGAATAATTTGCAAGATTTGCAAAGAAAAAAGTTTATTTAACGGTAAGAATTTTGACGGGAGACAACCTCAAATTCACTCTGAATTTTACAAATACAACACATAAAACACAACATGAAATTCTTTAAAAAACTCTTAAAATGCTTCAAGAAAACCAAAAAACAAAATGATAGTTGGGATAATATTTGCGAAAAAGCTGAGTCTTGGTTAACAAAGTCAACGGACAATAAAGAAGAATCTTTTGAAACCACTTTACCGACTGTTGAATTTGATAATCAATTCTCTGTTCTTGAATTAAAATTTTATACAAGATATGAAGAATATGTAGACGATGTGAGAAAAGAAGACACTGAGAAATATGAAAAATTTAAGATATATTTCTCATTTTTAGATGCACATATTCGTAGTTACCATAATCTTTTTCACGATGCGATATGGTATTATAGTAAAGAAGGTACATTTGACTTATTGCTCTGGAGAAGAAAGCAATATGAAGAGGATTTTGAGTACATGATAGAAGTTTTGAATAAAAATTTTAGTCATATCTACCTGTTGGGCTATAACGATTTATTGGATTATGCTGAAAATAATTTAGTATTTTAAATGTAATTTTTGTAAATAATTTATTTATATTTATTTTTTGTAAATAAACGTGTAATTGTATATAAAGTTTCTGGTACATTCTACGTTATAATGAATCTAAAATTAGTAATCTGATTGTATGTATGTGATTGTAATTTTCTTTTGTAGATGATCATCTAATCTACAATTAGTAATTTTTATTATGTGATCAACACTGTACAAATATCCATTGATTGCGCCCAATTTCATGTTTCTCACCCTTTCGTTTGTGGTTTATCAGAGAGATGGTGGAGAACACCTACATCTTAATATCCGAACAGGAGAAGCGTAGTCTCTTTCACAGAGATGAACATGATGTGAGGCAGCGAATGACACATGAGATAACCATCTTTTTGGTGAAGCATATTCATGTTTCTCTGGTTAACATGAGTGAAACGGTCAACTTTTTTATCGCTTCAGATGGTTGTTATTAAGTTTTGGCCAGGCTCTTCATCTCGAGAGCGAATGAAAAACTTAGTGTTTGCAAATCGATGCACCTTGAGAAATGTCTCGAGGAACGGATGTGTTTAGGCTTTTTTCTACCATAGAAGAGTAAAAAGCACTCTCAAATGTTAGTCATTTTGGGGCACACTATATGAATTCACCGGTTGAATCCTCAGGCTTATAACGCTGAGATGTGACTCGGTACACTGATATTTAGGCTTTTGACAGCTGTACCTGAACTACAAAAGTCAAAATTTTTCAATGCTGTGATAAGGTATGGCTTATCATATGGGCTTAGTGTCTCTAGCCATTTCCTCACTTTGAAAGGCAGTAAGGGTTGTTTCTGAGTCGACTTTGTTGTGAGGAACAACTCAAACACGCAAACAAGAGAATGCCTTTATGTGGCTTGCGTGATGAGTAGTGTATTTTTCAAATACATGAAACCAAATTTTCTCAACTAATAAAAATTTGTGAGTTAAAAAAAATATATATATTCCTGAATATTGCTTAAGATTTTATTTAAAATTAACAATTTTCCTGATGGCTAAGGAAACAAAAACCTTGAAAACTTCATGTCTGAGATGCCGAAAACATAGAA